TGCTCCCTTCTAGAACACAAGATGGATCCCAACACTTCTTCCTACAAACTAAAGTCCAGCTAATCACAGCTGCAATTCCAGCTGTGATATCTTACATGCTCCCCTGCACTGCACACCCAAGCCCAGAACTGAATGACTTCAAAGACAGCATCATCAATTTTACCTTACATTCTTCATCCAAGAGGTCCAGGATCCCCAGCTTAGCTTCTATGAGGTCGATGCAAGGCTGGTTATCATGAAAATCAATCAAGGTCCAAGGGATCTGCTCCTTCATATATTCTTCTTGCTCTAGTTTGAACACATGCTAGGGCAAGAGGTGAAAAGGTCACAGTGAGTGAATGGAAGTGCTAAGTTCTGGGTCCTGGAGGACACCAGGTAACTGCTAGGAAAGGTTTGGGTGCTTTTCAGTCACCATTGCACAAAAGAAAAGGGCATTTAGGTGGTTTCTTATTCCTATGCGAACCCTTCCCTAGGATATTTTAACAATCACCTGTGTTGTTTTACCCCAATCACAAGAAGCCCCACATTTGGCTTGTAGGTGCTTCAGCACCCAAGAAACCCAGGCTCAAAGGACTGAGAGTCAAGGCCACAGGGAGGAGCATTTATCCGTGGCAGCACAGCACAGGTCCCACTCAGACCTCCTCCTGACAGTGGGGAGCACCTTTCTAAAGCTCAGGGCACTCCCAGGAAACCAAGGGAAGGTAAGGGTAGAGCTGGAACCCACTGGCCATGAATGGAAGAGTCATAACCCCAGTAGCACTCCCAGGGAGAGGGGGCTCCCAGGCCCAGCGCCCAGTGCCAGAAGCCCAGCCTACCCAGTTGAACTGCTGCTGGAGCTTTTCATTTGCATAGTTGATGCAAAACTGCTCAAAGCTGTTTACCTCAAATGTCTCAAACCTGCAGAACAGAAAGAGAAGACAAAGGTAAGAGCTATCTCTTTTCAAGGCTGCCCTCGCCCTGTCCTCCCTGCCAGCTCTTCCCCAAGGTCACCACAGAATCCTCAGTTTCTGCTCTTGTGTTCAAAGAGACCACTGTTGCAGATGTCAGCACTACAGAGAGCCTCATTAGGAAAGAATGCATATATATTTTTATAACTAGAAAAAATACCGACAGCAGGAAAATTTAGAAAAAGCAGACAAAAAAAAGAGAAAGTCATCAATGATTCTGTCATTCATATCAACTGCCAGCTATATTTTACTAGATTTCCTTTTAAGGATTTTACACATTTTTTTTTTTCAAAAATGCAAAGTTCTACCTCCTATTTTTATCATTTACCATTTCATCACAAATACTTCCTCACACCAGTTTCCTGAAAGCATCAACCTTAATGTCTGTCTCAGTGACCACTGCATGGATCAGGGCTGTGGTCTAGACCTGGGAATAGTGAAGGGCCAGGAGATGAAATTCAGTCAGCCCCCTCATGCACTGGGGAGGGAGGCTCCATCCTGAGGGGACAACATCCTTTCTCGTGCTCCATGAATTGGCTGCGGCTCCCACACTCCCAATGAAGGGCTATCAGTGTTGTGACAAATTCTTTGAATTTGTGATTCTTTCCTAAAGATGGTAGCCTAGAATTACCACATCAAAGAGTATCAGATCTTAAAAGGTACATGCAAATTAACTCCTAGAAAGGTGGAACTACTCTGTGTGATTATCTTACCCCCACCTCCCAATGTAGGAAATAATAGTGGTAATAATAGTGGTCAACAATCTCGTTTTAATCATTTTATAGAGTTCAGGTTTACACATAATGCACAAATTTTAAGTGTATATGTTGATGCATTTTTGAAAAATGTCACTGAGTATGTAGCTATCACCCCAGCGCAGAGAACAGTTTCACCCTGTGAGAAATTCCCCATGTGCTCCATTCAGGTCAGTCTCAAGGGTCTCCCCCACAGCTGGCCCTGGTGAGGAGGAGTACTCATGTACCACAGCTCTCTAGACAACAGTGGACATTAACTTTGAAAAATCTTTGATTACTGGGTATAGAAAATTCAAATGTGTTTGAATTTTAATTTCTTTGATTAATAGAGTTTAACGTTTTTCTGCCTAATTGCACTTTGTGAACTGTCTGTGATCCTTGGTAAATTTTGTTAGGTTTTAACTTTAAAAATGAATTTATTAGAGTTCTTCATCCTCTAGAACAGCAGTTCTCAACCTGTGAGTCGTGACCCACAGGAACTGTATTAAAGGGCTGCGGCATTAGGAAGGTTGAGAACCACTGCTCTAGAGTATCAGCACCATCATTCATTGCACAATGTAGATGTCCACAGTACGGCCTGGTGACCGTGCAAGGGACATAAAGCTGGGAAAGGTCAGGGTGGGATGAGACACGGTGCAGCAGGAGGCTGTGGTAGTAATGTCCTTCTCACAGGTCTTGGGAGCTACATAAAGTTTGGATCTCACCAAATTCAGAACGGGGAGATTCTGAAGGATTTCAAATTAAATTGACAATCAGAGTTGGGCAAGAGAGAAACTTATTTGGAAGAAAGTATATGAGACTGGAGACAGGAAGGTGAGTGAGGTCATTGTCACTGGAGCAGGAAGCCAGGCAAGATCCAGTCGGACTGACTTAAGCCGGTGGTGGTCAAGTAATGGGAAGGTTCTCCTGTCATCAAGGAACATGTGGATGAAAAAACTACAAATGGCCAACAGGCTGGGCAGATAAGGCCTCGTAACTGGATGCATGTGCTGTCACTGGCTGTGCTGGCTAGGTGACAAGCACCAGCAGCTTGAGCTACAAGGAGTGGGGCCCACTTTGTACATGGAACAACAGCATTGGGCCGAGGGGGCAGAAATCCATGAGGAAGAGGAGGAAGAGCTGCCTTTTCCCCATTTATGCAATAGGCCAAATGGCTGGCAGAGGCCCTGCCAATGAAAATCTGCAGAGCAACAGACCCAGGTGCTTCATGGTTCCCATCTGATGACTGCTCATAGCAAGCAAGAGACAGGTTCTATCCTTAATCCATCCTACAGCTGAAGAAACCAAGGTGTGGGGAGATGAGGTACCTGCCCAAGCTCAGACAGTCAGTAGGCAGAAGGGCCAGTACTGAAACCCAGACAGTCTTATTACTGAGAGCACAGTCTTAATTCAGAGAGGAGGAAAGTTTCATAAAAAAGGAAGAAGAGATGACTCAGAAGGGCTATCAACATGAAGGACAACTTCCCATAAGGGGTGGTATTTGAACACATGGTGAGGGGCAGAGAGGGCCAGTGCTAACCGAGGCCAGGGGCATAGGCTTCATTCAACCTCCTCCAAAATCTTTATTTCTCCCTCCTCTTATTCTTCAGTACAGAAAACTGCATTTCCTCAATCTTATATAAAAAGCCATGTAAGCCCTTCCAGTAAATCCTACTCCTTAAGTACCACCCCAAAATAGCAATGCTACAGCTTCCTCAAGCTGGGCATCAGATACCCGACAAGCTGGGTTGGTGCCTAGAGGCAACAGCCTTCTCCTCCTCCCTGACACCTACTGCCTTCTCGACAAGGTATGAGATGCAGGGAAGTGGGAAATTTGGGGATCAAAGGAGTCAACTGCTTGGATGCAACCACATTAAAAAGTAGCCTTTGGCCATGCCCCAAAGAAAATTCTAGGTTAATAAAACAAGATCAAAGAAGCAAAGTCCAACTGGGACAAAGAAGACCAGCCCTGTGCACTCTAGACCAGCAGAAGAGGGGCACTGTGTCTGCCAGTCACTGCCTTGGCTTGGGACCCTCCCAGGCCAGATGAGGGTCCTGTAGACCTAATTCACATCCCCTAGAATCTCCTTCCCTCCCCCAGCCTCTCACCTCCACAGAGGTTGCTGACAACAGCCAAGCCCTGGAGGAAATTTAATTAATAAACCCCAGAAGGAAGATAAAAGAGCCACCCCAGCAACTGGCCAGATAATGGCAACTGGGAGTGTTGGCAGAGCTTGTACTGAGCTCCACAGAGAGAGGATTTAAATATCTCCCACTTGTCATTTTCTAAAGGTTTACACTGGTAGCGCTCCACAAAGAACATTCTCATTAATTTGAAATGGCCTGAAATTAGCTCATAATTTTCCTATTTCTAAGACATTATCTGGTAACAATTCCTCTGCCATCTAACGTAATTACTGTAATGCCGGAGGCCCAGAGAGGAATGAGGGGCTTGAGTAGCTTGGAAAACGTCTAAGGGGACCGACCTCAGAAAGCCTCCATCTGGAAGACAGGGCAACTTCTCCTTTACAATGGAATTATATTTGTAGTAATTTTTCCCATCAACAGAGATGGCTTTTAAAAATAAACACAATGAATCAATTTGTAGTCTACAACATTAAAATGTCATAAAGAAATTTATATACCAGAGGGAATTGAATTCCTCTTGTAAAATCAATGCTGAGAATATTTAGACCAGAATCCTTGGGTGGGAGAAAGGTCAAAACGTAGAATAAAGCTGGACACTGAAACATGGCTTCTGGACTGCTAGTGGCACTATGATCACCTCTGCTTCAATTTCCTTCTATCTTCAGAATGTTGTTGAAAAGTATACAATTTCCTTCTCATTCTACCTCAATTTTAGAGAGTAATATGGGCTACAAATACCTCTAAAAATAAGGCAGGGCTTGTTGGAAAGTGAAACTGCAATAAAAAGTCAGCTAGTCACCCCAAGATAATGATTAACCTCTGCGAACCTCTCACTCCCTGACCTGAGAGCCAGCAAAGAGGCAAGGTTCCCCCCAGAGCACCGGTCAAAGGAACTGGAATCTCTGAGCTCAGGCTTGTCTTCCTAGTTTTACAGAGATCACTCTCTAGCATTCTACCTTTGTCAGGTTGAAAAGATATAGGAGGGCTTCCAGAGAATGATTATTAAAAATTTTACAGAAAAAAATGATGTGGGAAAATACTCTCTAGAGAAAGCTTTAAAAAATGGGAGCATGGTGCATTAAGGTCAAAGAAGTGATCTAAATGTCTCTGGGCAAGGTCCCTTTCCAACCTGAAGCTTTGAAATCTCCCAAAGGCACCTTGGGATCTACCGAGAGGCTAACCTCTTGATCTCTTTACTAAACAATCTCAGGGTGCCGGTGCACCGCAGAATATCAGGACTGGAATTCTGCTCATGTGCCACTCTGTGCTTAGATGTCCCTATACAGCACAGAGGCTCGAGTGCTGCTCACACTCCAAAGCCAAGAACCGTTATTCTTTCCAAGACCTAAATCCAGGTCACAGGATTTGCCACATGCTCCAATTTCCGGGTCCTTTTCTGCCCACTGTGTGGTGACCCTCTGCCCATCAGCCAACTGTCCCAAGAACTGAGGGCTGCAGAGAAGAGGAAGTCAGAGCCTGTGCCCAAACGAGCTGTTCAAAATATGACAGAAAACTGATGTATGAGAACCTCCCCAAGGAGTAATTTTAGATGCTACAGGCTTTGAGAGCACAGTGAGGCCATGAGCAGGGGGCAGGGGGCAGTGCTGGTATAGACAGAGAGAAAATGGGACCTTGTCAGAGTCTCAAAAGCACACAGGAGGGCCTGGCTCCAGGGATACTCCAAAGGGCTGTCTCAGAGCAATTGTGGAGGTGGAGCCTCACTTTAGAGCTCTCTGAGGTTTAAGGGTCTCCTGAGAGGCTGAAAGATTCCAGGGTAGGCCAATAGTGTCTGGTACGCTGTTGGGTCTGGAACAGTGGAGCCAGCCATACATTTTCTCTCTGAAGGCAGCATGTCCAGGGGTCTTCTGGGCTGTCCAGGGCTGGGCCACTGTCACCAACTAGAGAGTAAGTGAAGTTACTGACTTCTCCCCTCCATTTTCAGAGAAACCTTTTCATACTGGTCACAAAGGAGGTGGGTAGGTAGGTGCCTCTGAATAGCTGTATTATAGTTGGAAGGGTATAAGTTTGTTTTGGAGAGACCAAGAAAACAAAAGAAAGAATTTTTTTTCACCAAAGTGAAGGCAACCAATTAAGTTTACTTAAAATACATCATTAAATTCAACCCACAGGATGGGAGACAATATTTGCAAACCCTATTTCTAATAAAAGGTTAATATCTAGGATATGTATAAAACTCAGTAAAACTCAGCAAAACCCCCAAATAACCTGATTTTTAAATGGGCAAAAGACTTGAATAGGTATTTCTTGAAAGAAGATATACAAATAGTCAAGAGGCACACGGAATGACGATGACCATCATTAACTGGAGGAATGACAGCCAGAACCACACTGGGACAGGATGGCCACACCCAGTGGGACTGTCAGACCACAAGTCACCAGCACTGTTGAGGATGTGGGCATGGGAGCCCTTGCACACAGCTGGTAGGACACAAAATGGTAGAGCTGTTATGGAAAACATGAAAGTTCCTGAAAAAATTAAAAACAGAACTACCATAGTATCCAGCAATCCCACTTCCACGTATATATACATCCACTAGAATTGAAAACAGGACCTGGGAGAGTTGTGCACACCCACATTCATTGCAGCAGTACTCAGAATATCCTGAAGGTGAGAACTCCAATGCCCTCCAGCGGATGGATGGATACACACAACGCAGTACATACATTCAACCAAATATCACTCAGCCTTGAAAAAGGAGGAAACCCTGCTACTTGCGACAAAAATGGATGAACCTGGAGGACAGGATAACGGAATGAAATAAGCTAGTCACAAAAAGGAGCACTGTGATTCTACGTACACGAGCCCTCTAAAGTAGGCAAACTCTTAGAAACAAGGTAGAAAGGTGGTTGCCAGGGAGCGGGAAGTGGAAAGTTGTTTAATGGGTGTAGTGTTTCAGTTTCGGAAGATGACAAAGTTCTGGAGAAATTTCACAACAATGAG